TTGATTCCCAATCAAGTTTAGATGCAATTTGAGTGTTTTATTTACCAGAGTTAGAAATATGGGAAATTCTACTCCTGTCAATAGAAATCGTCCAACTGTATTACGGAGCCTAATAATATAAATATATGCTTTTAAGATAGACCTATATAAGAATAATGTTGATGTTTTATACTTAAGGTCATTGAGTCTTTAACGTTTTCCTAGAGAGTAAAATATTAATTCAAATATGTACTGTTCTATGACCTTTATCCAAATATAGATGACAGGTAAGATGACTCCTTTTAAGCTGGAAAGGAAGAAAATATATTCTCTAAGTTTTTTGTTTTACCCCATTTTAGACATTCAGGTTTGTAGTATGAGTCGAGTACAGGTGTTGCTTATGGTAACATTTCTCATCTGTCAGCCCTCTTTGCCTCATGGTGATTGGAGGAGCTCACTTATATTTTCTGAAAGAATGATTGTGCTTCATGTTTGTGCTGAGACTTGCCCTCTTTCTATTGCATTTATACATTTACATATTTACTATGCTTTTTGAGCTTTAAGTTTAGTTTTGTGTATTCTCAAGAATATGCTTATTAAAGAAAGTACTTTTTTTTTTTTATACTTCATCCTTCCACTTTTCATTTTTCCTTTTATAATTTTGCCATTCCAGTGAGGTTTCTTTTAGTATATCAGTTTTGTTCTCTTAATTTTTTTTCTTTTTTGAGAATATGGTAGACATTCAGTGATAGAGACACAGAAAGCAGCAGGAAGGAGTTAGTGACATTACCATGATCATTATGTTGTCTGAATTGGGGTAGATACTCCTAACTACGGATATGGAATTTCTTTTGTGGTCCTACTGTGAGCCATCAAGATCTGGGAAGACCAGCTAAAATAAATTATCCAAATTGTTTACTTTGGGAAGGTCTGCACAGTATTTTTTTTAATTAATTGACTGCTTCCTTCTCCCAAAACACTTGGCTTCAGAGGAGATAAGGGTTCTCCTGGGGTCTTTAAAAAAATTTAAGACATTGCTTTTTGTCCCATGAGTTGGTAGAGCAAACATCAATACTGACATTTTTATACAAGCTTTTGAGTTCAACCTACAATAAGGCAAGTACGTTTATAGAAATAAAGACTTTTGCTGTGTGTGTAACATTTCAGCCCAGTTTTTGTCATCCTTGTCTTTTTATTTCTGTTATGTATAGCATTTATCAGTCAAAAACAGTTGTATGAATAAGAAGTTACTAAAACTAATTCCATGAGTTTTGTCTTTTGTGTGTTAGGTGCATAATGGATTTAAGTACCTTACTCAATGCTGAATATGCCCTAGACTGTATACCGGGGCAGGCAATTATTTCTGCTGGAGGGCCGCTTAACAAGTTTTGGCAAGCTGTTGGGGGCCTCAAGGGTAGCCCTGCCCCCTTGACAGGTGCCCCACCCCCTGGTCACAGTCTTGGAACTGGAAGCCCTGCCTCCTAAGTCCAGACCTTTGCCACCAGAATTGCCTCCCCTTGCCCCTGGAAGTACTTCTTTTGGCAAGGGTGTTTGCCATCTTGGAACCAGAAAAAAACCCAAATTATATGCTAAAAATCAATCCTCTTCTACAACATACATTGATTTGATTTAAATATATATTTTTGTCCTGGTTTATATCTGTTTGCATAGTACATAGAGGTGATTGCATAATAGCTTAAAATGAAGTCTTAATTTTGTATATTGTATGTGGGGTGTGGGTGGGTTATGGGGTTTGTGTGGGGCTCTAAATGTGTGGGGGGAGGGTGGCTGGGGGGTTGCGGCATGCGTGGAGCATGGCTGGGATGTGTATGAGGATGTGGGTATGGGGTGTGCATGGGGGTTGTGGGTGCATGTGAATTGTTGCGTGAGGGGAGTGTGGGTACATGTGTATGGTGGGGTGTGCGTGTGGGACCCCCCCCTACAAACCCCCCCCCCCCCCACATGCCTCTCTCCCTCACATGCCTCTCTCCATCATTGCACATAGCCCTTGCCACCAGCGGCAGCAGCAGGCAGGCAGGCCTTGGGGTGCTTATGGCCCGTGGCAGGCAGAGGCTTCTGGTGGTGCATGGTCCCAGTAAGCCCCAGGACTGCACGTGGCCAGGCTGTCAGCAGGGAGAGGAGCAGAGTCGGCCCGGCCCCATAGAGCACCTGCCAGTCCGGGTTCTGTGTTCTTGCTGCCCTGCACTGGGCACCCACCGGCCCTGGTCCTGAAGCACTGCCACAGGTCCTGCACTCCTGCCCACCTGCTCGCTGCCACTTCCCCCCTGCCCCCACCTACCACTGCTGCTCTTCCCCTTCCACTTCCCTACCTTTCCACTCACTCCCCTACCTGCCCGCCACTCCAGTAGCATGTGGTTTCCGGCTGTGTAGCAGGGACCACAGAATGAAACAGGAGCCAGTCTGGCCTCCATGGCTCCTGGCTGGCTCCTGCTGCACCTTGGGGTCCCAGCCATGCAGCCGGGAACTGTGGGGTACTGGCTGGGCCAGGCTGCCTCCAGCACCATGTGTTTCCTGGCTGCTTGGCCCAGACCGCGGAAGGCAGCAGGAGCCAGCCCCGCCCAGCTGGCAACACATGGCTCCTGGCTGCATGGCTGGGACTGTATGGTGCAGCAGGGGCTGGGATGGTCCTCGCTGGCTCCTGCTGCACCGGCGATCCTCCCCCCTCCACCCTTTCTTACCTGAGTTTCCACACTTGGACGGAGGGAGGGCAGGGGAACAGCCCCATGGTCGCCAGGCTAGAAGCCTCTGCTAGGCAGAAACTTCCGGTTGCGGGCTGGGGGTGGGTGGAGCGGGGCTGGGCGGGCCTTGTTGCTGCCACCACTGAGTCCTGCCACTGCTGGGTCCTGCCGTCAGCTCCTCCTGCTGCTGGCACCTCGTCATCTTTTAGACAGGTACCCACTGGCAGGTAATAATTTTTTAAATTTTAGACGGGCCCCGTGGGCCGGATGGAATGGCCTGGCGGGCCGGATTTGGTCCGTGGGCTGTATTTTGCCTCCCCCCACCCACCCACTCTATGCGTAGCTCCCAAGACTGCTTTATGCCATTACCAGTCTTAGTGCTTTTATGAAAGGTGCTTCCCTCCCAGTCTGGGGCTGCTTCTCGTACAAACAGCAGCAGCAGCCAGTCATATTCTAATTCTGATACAGGGTTTGAAAATGTCCTTTGTGCACTTAAACGTGGTAAATTTGCTGTGTGCTATATGTAAACTTCATTTTTACTCTCTTCAGAATTTAAGCTTTCTCTTAAAAATATCTAAGTTTCTAGCTCTTTCAGTTGCAGAGATCATTTGCCAAATGTGAACAGATGAGATACCATCTTCTTGAGTCTCTTCATCTCAAATGTCTGTGCCCTTCCGCAGTGCTTTTCCAAGCAAGACTAACAGAGTGAACTCAGGACTGGAAAATTTCATTGTGCTGTTCAGAACCCTGTGGGAAGGAGAGAAACTGTAAAGAATCATATTACTTTTATTCTGTTACTGATTATAAAAGCTAGTAACAGCAGTAGCAGAAATTGTTGGAATATTCACAGAGAACAGGATTAAAACTTAAAACAAGCAGGAGAAATATAGTAGAAGAAAACTTCCTTTTCTTTGCACCAGAAAGCATCTCTTTTTGTGGTTTGATGAGGGCAAAGGGGGCTCCAAATATATCAAACATCCACTTGCCAGAGGAAAAACCTTTCCTGTAGACTCCAGAGACCACACCTTTCATTTCTTCTCATCAGAGGAAGTAGGTTTTGGGCCTTTCACTACAGCATTGCACATGGAGCTGATTTGTGGGTCTTTCTCTAATTTTTCATGTTGACATATGACTAGTAATTCTCTGGGTAAAAAAGCTCTTGCAAATTCTCTAGTTGCAATGTGTTCGTGGTTTTTGGTGCTTTGATGGAGAGGGCATACGTAACAGCAAAGTGAATTTGGAAAATTCCAGGGACCTACTGCACTCAAACCTCTGGCTAACATCATTTCTACAGCAAACATTGCCCTAACTCAGGGGTGGGCAAAATGTCTGATCCAGCCAGCAGCTGGACTCCATTTCCCAGCAGCCCCTGCCCACATGGCTGGGGCTGGTCTCCATGGAGACCCCAGCCTCAGCTGCACAGGAAAGTTCAAGGCTGGGGTTGTCAGGGAGACCAGCCCTAGCCACACTGGCAGTGCGTGCAGCAGAGCAGGGAAGGGGGCTGCTCCAGAGCTGCTGGGATCTTGCAATGGAGGCAGCTTGCTCTGGAGCCAGGGCAGAGCCTGCATGCTCTGGGCAGGGGCGCACAAGAAGGGGATCATGGCTTTGCCCTGGCTCCTTGTAGCAGTGACGGCCTGGTCTGGACCAGGGGCAGAGCCATGATCCCCTGCCTGTGCACCCCTGCCCAGAGCATGTGGGCTACAGATCATGGCTTTGCCCTGACTCCAAGGTAAGCTGCCCCCATCACAAGTTCCCAGCAGCTCCAGAGCAGTCCCCTGCCTTGCTCTGCCCAACTGCGGCTGTGGCTGCAGCTGGTCTCCATGGCAACACCAGCCTTGAGCCTTCCCAGGGAGCTGCAGCTGGGGTCTCCATGGAGACCAGCCCTAACCATGTGCAGGGGCTGCTGGGAAATGAAGTCCACTGCCAGTTAGATCTAGCCCGTGAGCCAGACTTTGCCCCTCCCTGCCCTAACATCTGTATGTCTCCGTCTTTGACCATATCTATTTTAACCTGTTTTGGGAAAAATCAACTCTTGTAATTACCCCCACTTGCTTTATCAGGCAGGAGTGGTAGAGTAGGTAGGCCATCCCATTCATTAGTGTTTTTCATCACCATGATGTCTATACCTGGTTTGAACTGGACTGTGGTAAGATCTGGTATAAAGGCTCAGCTGTCTGCTTTCATTACACCTTTATCTGCCTATTAAGCCACCTTTATCTTCATTAGCTGTTATCTCCTTGGGTGGTTTTTTTCCCCCAATCTCCGATATATTATAGTTGTAAATACATAGATTCTACTACAATACTTGTTCTTTTATGGTAGAGACCGAGAGGAGAGGCTGGCAGCTCTCACTGCAGCTCAACAAGAAGCCATGGAAGAGCTACAGAAGAAGATTCAGTTAAAGGTATAAATAGAATAACATTCTTTCTAATTGAAACTACGTTGTTATTTAACATCATATTTTTAAAACATTTTTCCTGTTATGTGTTTTATTTGTGAAAACAAATAAATACAGTCATGTCATAGCCCAAAGTTTGATACTTGATCCAGGCTGATATTATACAGAACATTATTTGAAAGGTATACTGCATTGTATTATTACTACTACTTTGATTCTACTACTAATAATATCTTAAATTAATTTTGATAATTAATTAATTATTGCTGCTCTCTATTAATTAGAGAATACACCACCAGTTGGATTCTGTATCACAGCATTCCAATGGGGGAACACAATACACATAGGTTAAGAGCCTACAGGCAGGAGAAAAATCTAGCATTAGAATTACAGAAGATAATGAAGTGATAATAATCACTGTAAATAATGGGAAAATGCCAGTATTTTAAATTGTGGCATCAGGAATAATATGTTTAAACTGTATACAATGATACAGGACAGTTATTCCCTTTGGGTATTTTGGCAAGCATTATGCATAAAGTTTCAATCTGCATTTGCATCATCCAGAACTGAATGGTATTTAATTACCCTTAGTATTTCTGACCACAATTCATTTTATTTTAATTTAATGATGTTTACCATCTTTTGTTTCGATACTTATGTATTTAGCATGATGAAAGCATTCGGAGGCACATGGAACAAATTGAACATAGGAAAGAAAAGGCAGCTGAATTAAGCAGTGGGAGACATGCTAATACTGATTATGCACCAAAACTTACCCCATATGAGCGGAAAAAGCAGTGTTCACTATGCAGTGTTTTGGTAAGTTGGATTGAAGGGATGCTATCAAAAGTTTATATGTCAATCCTAAGTGTAGTTCTACTACTTTTGTTTCATTTTGTTCATACCCTTATTTTCAAGAGGGTACTACAAAGTAAACTACTGTACCTCCCCTCTCTTCCAGTTTGCTCTTCTTTTGTGGGTAAGCATGGAAATGTACCAGCTTTTACTGACATGTTCTGCATTTCATCTGCATTGGGATGCTGTTCCACTGCCCTGCCAAGTAGGAGGTGTTCCAGAAAAAGACAAGGAGAGAAGCATGTGTCCTAAGGCTAAGTGTGTGGAGCAGAGAGCCAGGAGTACTGCTCTCACCTGTTAAATGACCGTTTATTTTTCTGTGCACTAACTGCATATCATTCAGCAAAGCGCTTCATACCATAGCTGAGAAATAAGTCGACCTTCATTCCTCCATTATTTTAGGCAGAGTGGGGAGAGAAGCCCAGGTTTCATCTTATGGAAAACTGAAATCATGCTGCCTTTCAGAATGAATGTCCAGTGGGCCAGTTATGTTTTTATTTCTAGCTTATCATTATAGCATACTCCTTTTCGAGAAACAGAATGGAACTCCAGATTCTTGATTTCAATTATTTTCCTACTGTCTTACAAATACTTGTGTTACTAGTAAAATTGTATCAAGTCTCCCCTTCTAGAGACAGGTTCATAAAAGGGTATGACAGAGCACTGTGTTGAGATTTGAGAGTTTCAGCATTGAAACTACTGATAACTCATATGGGAGCTCCTTATGGTTGCATGTAATGGTATTTGTGTTTCCAGTTTTCTTTTTTTAAATTGCTTTAATAAATTCATACAATATTGGAATACAGCTCCTTCCATTCATTAAGCATTTTCATTTCATCATTAGTTATTCAGCTCAGATTTTTTTTATGACAGTCATTTTAATTATATGCTTGTGATGAAATAATTTTTGGTATGAAGCCATAATTATTTTTATAAAGAAGGTAATTATTTTACAAGTAATTGAAATTGATTTAAGAAATATGGAGTACAGTTGTGATCAGGTGCCAGATTTTGAACATACTTGTTTATTGATTGTCAAATATGGTACATACCTTTTTGATGAAAAAATGACTTGTAATTAAATTTCATTACAGATTTCCTCAGAGGTGTATCTTTTTAGTCATATTAAGGGGAAAAAACACCAACAAGCAGTGAGAGAAAATAGTAGCATCCAAGGACGTGAACTTTCAGATGAAGAAGTGGTATGTTTTAGTAAATTTTTTCACTATGTTGCTGTTCTTCTGGTTTATAATGCCAGCTAAACTGTAATAAGATAATTGCAAAGATAGATTTGAAAAATTGCTTGGAATAGCAAAGGACATAAGAAGTTAAACTGCACAAATGATAAGCTATAATACATGTTTAGTAGGGCTGCGCGAAGCTTCAGTCCCTGATTCGTTTCTGTGGAGATTCGGTCTGATTCGATGGCTGAATCTCCGAATCGAATCACAGGACCCTTTAATGTCTCTGAATCGAATCAGAACCCTCTCCAAATTGATTCAGAGAGATTTGGAAAGATTCGGCGATTAGGATATACAGATAGCTTTAAACATTTTTTCTACATACCTCTAGGTAGCAGGGGCTCATGATCACTGTGATGCTGGGGTGTATGGAGTGTCCCACAGAAGAACAGGGGGATCCCCAGCGTGCTTGTCAGCAGACCCGGAAGTGGACCATAAGCACTTCCAGTCCACTTCCAGGTCTGCCGGTGAGTGCACGGGGGGGGGGCTGCCCCTATGCGCCCCTGGCTCAGCAACTGGTGCCTCCTGGGGCTGGGGGGGCACCCAGTGGTCCCCCTGTGGCCAATCACCGAGTCAGAGGAGGTGCAGGGGAGAGGGGGGGAGGGGTCACCACCAAGTATGTGGGGGGCCCCCCCCTGCACTCCTGTGGGACGCTCCATGCGCCCCAGCATCGCAGCAATCATGAGCCATGCCTGCTACTTCCAGGTATGTAGAAAAATCTTTTAAAGCTGTGTCTATGTCCAAATCACTGATTCTCTGAATCAGCATCAAAACTTCAGATCTGGATTCGGCCAAATCGAATCAGGGACAGCGATCCGAATCAATGAATCGAATCACTGTCCCTGATTCGTGCCGAATTCGTATCGGAATCGAATAGGGCCTGCTTCTCAGACCTCTAATGTTTAGCAATAATGGTTTTTAATGAATTCTAAGGAGAAACAAAGGAAAGAAAACTTTGTAAACTAGATCTATTGAAATGAGTATTGTGTAAAATAAATTTCCTATAGAAGAGCTACGCTATTTATATAAGCTTCGTTTATATTCAGATAATATTTTTTCTGTATCTCTTTTGTCCTATGTTTACCACTTTGATAATCTGATGTTTAATAAGTATCTTATATTTCATTTTATATCCTTCCCTCCTCCTTTTCTTATAAGATTGATTTTATTAAGTGAAAGCCATGTTAGACAAGGCTTGCGTTTTTATGAAGGTGCTGAATTTTGTGGTCATTAGGTTGAGTTCCAGGGGCAGGCTCTTTTTCTATATTCATTCTGCACCTTTCTAAACCCTAAATCACAACATTATAGTTTCAGTATAAGTATAAGGTAGGGGACCAAATAGGAATGTTCCCCCACACTTCAAAACAAAATGTAACAGAAATTAAATGAACACCCAACGGTTTATCCCCGATCGCAATTTTTCTTCTTCTACCTTAACCCCTTCTAGCTCTTTTGGTAAACCTTGCCCCCAGCAATACACCCATCATGTTCCTTCCTATCTTCCCAGAAGCACCTGTGAAAAGAAGTGGATCATGCAGCTTGTTGCAAATATTATCAAGTCCAGGCCTTGAAGGAAGTGTAATTTTCATTTAGAACAAGGGTAACCAAATTGAGGCACGAGTGCCACAAATGGCTTGGGCAGCCTGAATGTGTGACAAAGCAGATGTCAGAAAGAACATCAGATCAGGCAGGAGAGAACAGGGAATGAATCAGAAAGCAGAGCATCTGCTTGGTCATATAACACAGGGCAGGGAGCAGACAGATGAGGAGCAGATTGGATAAATGAGAGGGATGAGAGTGACACTCAGGAAGGGTGTGGGGCTAATTTTTGGCACACTTGCCAAAAAGGTTGGTCCCACTGATCTAGGATGTTGTACTCTTGACCTTTTCTTCTTGGACAAGGTGGAGGTTTGTGTGTCCCTGATGACAGTGCCTCAGCTGTCATGCTGATACAAAAGGAGAAATATGGGCTCTCAAATAGCTGGCTTCAAGTCATTTAAAGCCTTTCAAGATAGAAAGAAAACGATTACCTTAAATTCCACTTGAAAAACAGTAATTAGTACATATCTTGAAGCACAATTTAATCTGCTCTTTGTTTGAAACAAAGCTAAACAAATACTTTGTCCAGTTCCAACCACTTGTAAACTGCAGCTAGGATAGAAATGATTGTCCCATTTCAGTAATATAAGCTCCAAGTGAAAAAGGTAGAAATGATGTGGTGAAAGTGTACTTCTGAAAGACAGACACATATCCTCCATGCTCATGATAAGCACATTTGGCAAGTGTTGACACCTGGGAATCCTGCAGGAGTCAGGGCTCCATAAATATTAGAAACAAGCTGTGAACACACAAAATAGCAGTTAAGGGGATCTAATGTAATTTCCACCTGTTCGTTAACTTGCTTCTGCCATCCTGTAAAATCGTCTGAGTTTTGTCTGGGTTGAGTCTCAGCAAATGATTTGTAGACAGAAATGATCAATACTGTTCAAGAACAACCATATCAACCTTTGCTAAGATTTCAACATGTTGCTTTTTCACCTAATGGTTAATAGTGCTAAAAATACCAGTATTGAATTGCCTCATTGATGGTCTTTCTCTAATATTACATAGTCAAACTAGGACAACCATTAAAGGCTGTCCTTTTCAAGATAGTTTTTTAGCAACTGCTACTTAAAAAAAAATTGCAAGTTCACTGTTTCTTAAAATCAGCTTTGTTTCATTTTAGCTGACTCAAAAAGCTTTGCTGTCTTGAAGAACAATTCTAAATGGTTGTCTAATTTCATTTCCCACATCTACAGCCTGGAGAGAGCTAGAACATTATTGTGAGGATCACTTTGCAAGAAACATGTTCACAACAGCCTGTTGTTTAGCTGTGTCTATCCCATGATTTGTGGATCAATCAAATACTGTTCCTGCAAATACTGCTTGAATTTGGTCTCCCGAGTTAGTTCAGATTTACACTATTTGTGTTATAAAATCCAACCTAGGTACACCTAGGTTCCACCTGCTACAGTTTACTTTTGGAAATCCCTTTAGCAGTCTCTCTCTGGAGAAAAGAAATGATTGCAAAGATACAGTTCTGTGGAGAAGTATATCTTACTATATTTCAACTCACCTCCCTAACCATATGAGATTTCTTTAGTACTCTGTTTTATCCCTTTAAAAGGTTTTATAACGAGAGTTTTTTCCATTTCTACATAAAGAGGAGCTGTTTATTGTAATTAATAAACTCAGTGATGAGTCTTTCTTCTGGCTGCAGAGTCTCATATGTTAAGCTATGTGAAGTCCCAGCACTCTTGAAAGGGAGCGCAGGGGTTCAAGAATTGTAGTGTATTCATTTCTTTTTTACTATTATATAAGCTCATAATCCTCTAGGTTTGTCACTTCTCTCTGAGCAGTGGAGGCTCTTGCTGGGTCACTGGTCCCCTTGAAAAAATGAGATAAAAATAAAATAGATTTTCCTTTCTAACTGTTATAGGCTATTCATTGCATTTAATTTAATAGTGTATCACTTTCAGCTAAGCAAATGTCTGAGGGCATTTGCTCTAGTGCCCCAGACTGAGACAGGAATTCCACTAGAGGGCACAGAGGCCCTGATTTAGTCAAATACTACAGCATATGCTCAAATCCAGTCCTCTTCCATAATCCAACATGAATTTAAATCCAGGCTTAATTTAAATTACAGTACGTGCTTTAAGTGTTTTTCTGAAAGAGGCCCAAAACTAGGAGCAAAAGGACTTCAAGGGAGAACTCCTCCAATTAAATGACTGGCTTGACAGAGACAGAAGAAAATAAAGGGCCACTTTAAAAAAAGTACTCCTTAATTAACAAGCATATGCATAGTGTTGTGGATACTGTGCTTCATCTAAAACTTTAGCCTGCAGCCACTACTGTAATGGGGTAGTACTAACATACTGATTTTTCATTACTATGCTGTATTTTAAAAATACTCTGATTTATTTCTACATTTCAGTTGTTTTTTGGGGGCACTTTGGTGACCTATACAGTAATAGTTTGAAATTTCTTTGCCCTAAGGCCATCTTTACAGTTTTCTTTTTCAGACAGGAGTAACAAAATATTAATTTAGGGGTACTCTCACCTTAAGTAGAAAGTCCATTACATTTATTCATCTAACATCTGTTTTGTGCTCTTAGCATTAACTGGATGCTGAATGAAAAATTTTGCTTCCCCAACATACAACATTTAATAACCTAAAGTAAATTCAAGCTCATTTGCAAGGAAGTTTCCAAAACAATATACAGAAGCAAATAATGTGTTATAGTTCATAGTCACTTACCATGAATTTCATTTTTAATCAATGAAGATATCTGTAGTGAGAACACACTTGTACTACTTAAAGTTATTACTTGTCATCTGTGATGACTTTACATTATATACACCTTGTCTGTGACCCTTCTTCTTTGACATATAAGATTTTATTTATACCACCTTTGACCCAATAAAATTTCACCTTTAACCTTATGCACTTGACACCTCAGATAACTTACTCTTGATCTTTGACACATTTTGTTTTAAGCCTGTTAAGCATAATAGGTTGCTGCCTAATAGGTAGCTGCCTAGAAAGAAAGTTGTTTTTTTTTTTTAATTGTAGTTTGACTCTAGAATTTATTTAGTGTTGCCTAAGATACCACAGAAGGAACTGCAGCATGTTTAATGGTACCTATGTCACTATCATAAAATTTAAATAATAAAATATCTATTTAAAATTTGGAAATTGCTTTACTATTATGCAAACATAATTTTCACAGTATAAGGATTGTTGTTAATTGTTTGACTGCCAGCAAAATGTATATGGTTATCAGTTCTGCCAGTAAAATGTATATGGTCTTCTATACCACATGAGTTCTTCATCTGATTTTTCTAGACAGTTTGGAAATTGGATAAAAGTGAATTCTTCTCAGTATGAAAAGAAGCACTTGTATTATTTGAATGCCAATGATTTTATTTTATGTTTTGATAAAATCCTCAAATTTTGTGATTTTTATGAATGTTATTGGGAAAGGAAAATTAACAGCCCATTGAAGCAGTTTCCTTATTGATTGGTGAAATACTTGTATCTTATAAAATTTAACTTTTAAGGCGCTTGTACACATAACGAAAATTGCCTTGTTGTCTGGCTTAATGGCATCACATTTTACACGTACGCGAGTTTTTGGCGATTTAAATGAGCTTGCATGCAACTTTGAAGGGTGCAGACATTAATATGTCACGTGTACATGGTAATTCACTGAAAGATATGTGGTGAGCCCCTTTGTCCATCAGCTGTTGCTGCAACTTTTGTATAGTGAGCACCCTTGTTCACAAAGTGTCTCTACAATTTGCAGGTATTTATGTGTAATAAATGTTTTAGGATACCCTTTTCAGGCAAGGGGGAGCCCTGGTGAACACCACTGACTGGCCCCAAAACTTGCAACAGTCTCAGCATGGCGTTTGTGTGCCCAGCAAAAATCCCCAGACTTTGCCTGGCAACAGCTGTGAGGAACCCCTGCTCTTCTGCCCCCTGCACCTCTAAAACATCCCTTTTTGGCTGAGTGCAGCATAATTGTCACCCTGATACCATTAATTCTCTCGCTGGTTTTATGTAAACCTGACAACTGGAGTTCTGTGAGCCTGCATGACCATTAACCGCACCTGCTTTATGAATAGCAGGTGAGTTCTGTCAGCATTCATTCCCTCACCGGCTATGTCTGAATTGCTCAGAAGTTCAGATCATGTTGTGCTGGGAACAGTGTCTTGACACACGGGTCACTGGGTAGTCTGCTGTTATGCTATGCCTCGACAGGGAGCCTGTGGGCTTCCATTGAAGGTTTAACTCTCTGTACATGGCTCTTTGGGTGGCCTGCTGCTGTGCCATGACACGCACAGAGCTAAAAGACCTAACAGGGCTAAAAGACAACCAGAATAAGTATGCCCATAATATACAAAGTTGCCACCGGTGCAGAGCCCCCCTCCCTGCCTTGACCCTGCCTGGCTCCAGCATGTACGATGTCCAAACTTTGCCCAGCAACAACAGGGTGGGAAGGGAGTGAACTTCCCTTGGCCCTGTCACCTCAAGACTTATAAATTGAGCGCACAGCTCCCCGGGGTACCCCTTATTGATCCAAAATGTCTGACGTTTGTGTGAAGATGGAGTGGACGGGGGCACATAGGTCTAGGTTCAGTTGGGCTTCACTGAAACAAAGGTACGGGTGGTGGGGGACCCTGAGATTGTGCGCAAGTTTGTCTGCAGCCCATGGGCCAACTGGCACATCTACCTTGATGTTGCCAGGAGAATGGGTGAGCTGGGGCATAACAGGATGGAGGTCCAGTGCCGTATCAAGGCAAAAATGCTGTGGGCTGCTTTCCACAGGGATGTCACCAGAGCACAGTGGCAGGGCATCCCACTGCATGATGTGGTCCATTATAGATACTTCAAACCACTAATGGAGGTACTGGATTGCTGTGACCACACAGGGACAAAGACCTCCAGGACATCCTCACCTGCTAAGACATTGCCAACCACTTCTGCAACTCGGGGCTCCAGTGGAGAAGATAGCAGCAGGGTCCTAGTCGTGTCACCTGCCGCTTCCTCTGAGGAGGATAGACCGCAGAGCTCGACCTCCATACCCGGTATGTGAAGCCCTATGGACCCTTTAAATCACGTGTCACCTGAATTGACAACTGCAGTTAGGCTGGGCTTTGAGGTGAAGGGAAGGTGGGGGATGGTGTAGAACAGTGATTTAAAGACCCCAGGAGTTAATGGGCAGGGAGGTACAGGGCAACACAGCTGGGAGGCACATCGGTGGCCAAAGTGGGTGGGTACTTGTTTGCAGCCACTTAGGGCCTGCTGCCACCCATCACCAAGCACCCCTTGTCAGTGATTTTGGGCTGACCACTTCTTATTTGCTTGCAAGATTTGCTGAGTGCTTTTTTTTCGAGCGTTGAGTGTCCTTAATTCACTCTATTTCCTGCTTTCCCTGATTTTCAGCTCTGCTTTCAACAGTGCTGCCAAGGAGACACAGGCTACTGAGGCAGGCTGCTGCTGATGCAAGCACAGACAGGATCATGGATACCCTCAGGGACTGCAAGCATTGGCTGCTCAAGATGGTGAGACAGATCTGTCTGGCTAAGGAAAGATTCATTGCCATCCAGTGCAACAGGAATTGCTCCGAGTCCAGGAGGCATTCCCAGAGCTGGGAAGACTGGCAAATAATAGCCGGGCTCCTTGCAATGATACTATGCCTGCTGGTGGTTGGCCCTTCTCCTTCCTGGGAGCGGGACAGGTGGTATGGATCTGTGCTCTGCCACCCACCAGTTTGCAGTCGAGCTCAGAAAGTCCACCTTAGAGCTGAAGTTTTTTAGTTAGAAATGATTATTGCTCAGATTGATTTTTTTTTTTCCGCGAATCATGCATCATTAGGGTAGTAAAAAGAAATTCCTCTGTTGTAGTAATTATGCATCGTTATGTATAAGAGGTGTTCTTTGGTTTGTTTAATTATGGTTAATATTTGGTTTGTAAATAAAGGTTTCTCTTTGTTTTGTTTGAGTCTTCACTTCATGTTCCCTTTGCGTAACAGGGGAAATGTAGAACGGTGGGTTTCCTGGCTTGTAGGGTGAGGCGCTTGCATGAGCTGCTGATGAGCATGCCTGTCTTTCAATAATGGGAATTAGCAGTTAGTCAAGTATGCCTGCTTGGGTTTGAATTTACTTTGTTGTCCTGTACTGCCAGTCACCATCTGAACTCCTGATCCCTGAGAAGCTGCATGTGCTCAGAGGAAATATGTGCACTGTGCAGCACCTACCCAATTACTGCTCCCTGCATTAGCAAAATTCTGGGCCAACCCACCACCGCCCAGCCTTGCTTTGGCTGCTGTGTCTTTCTGTGGTCACAATAATAAAAGCCAAAACCTTAAAAACCCCCACCTCCCTAAGCTTCCCCCCTTGGGTGGGGATGGCCAGGGAGCACTGAGAAGCTGCATGCTCTCAGAGGAAATAATATGGATGCTGTGCAGCACCCCTGATTACTGCTCACTGCCGTACCCACCTGGTTCCCACATTCTGGAAAACTCTACCTCTCAGTCCAGAGGTTGGTGTGTCCTCTTTCATTAGTGCAGTGTGTCTGGAACAAGCCTGGTTTTCTTTGGTTTGTCTTATCTCGCCCCCACAACCGTCGCTGCTTGCGGTGGTGTTCATGCATTCACTTAGCTCTGGTCCATGCTGGTGTCCGTGCTTCGGACGCATGTCCCTGCCTTCCAGTGGATGCGGTAGCTGGTAACAGGAACGGGGAAAAAAAAGATGTTCATGGTCAAAGATCTTGTCCCCACTCCCTGTAGTGGGCAGGTTATTGGGCTAGGAACAGAAGTTGCACATAAACCAGTTTAAGTGATCATAAACTGTTTTAAACCTGTAACAAAACAAAAGTTCAGTGCACATAAGCCAGTTTCAAATTGGCCAAAACCAGTTTAAGATAAAGCTGGTTGAATGTAGTATCAGACTTATCTGTCTGAGGTCAAACAGGACAGGAGAGGGACTGTTTGGACTGGTGTAACCAAAGAAAGCAGAGAACTGCAGGCAGTTGATAAGCGAAGGAGGAGGGGGCATGATTTCCCTCAGCTTCCCCCACACCATGGGGGAACGGGAAGAGGCTGAGGAACTGGTCTGGTCCTCTGCCACCTGTGAGCACAGAGTCAAACCCTGCAGGACCAGACTGAGAGATGGGAGGTGTTAGCAAAGACCTGGCACAATCATCATATGTATGTGCTGGAGATGGAGGAACAGGTGGAACAGGAGAGGGCTGCAGACAGCTTGAGCTAGTGTGACCAAAGAATGCAGAGAAGCGCATTTACATTATAAATCAGAACCTGTAAAAGTTGGGAGACTGGAATACCTAAGCAAGGACTTTCTGAACACCTGGCTCTTAGGAGACACTCTGCCCTCATGATTACCTAAGAATTACGCAAGGCTTTGTCTCGTCTTTTCGGTCTTTTACATTCCATTTTAAGTTGGACTAAATTGTGTGTGCTCTCACTGTGTTTTACTGGGGTGTATCTTACCTTAGGCGAAGGTTTTTGGTTGTTCTGTCATGTTCTTGAGGTTGTAAAGTGCTGTGTTCAATACATGCTTGCTTCAGAAAAAGAACTATTCTTGTTCAAGCTTTTATGAATTCAATGCCACAACCTTTTTTCCCACCCCTACTCCTCAGTCTGGCAGCAGCTGCCTGCCCCCCACCATGGGGTGGGGAAGAAGAAGCCACTGCCCACCCCCCACAGACCCAGGCTGGAGCCCCATGTAGGCCAGGGAGGGGATTTAAACCCCCCATCCCCTAGCATGCTAGCCCCAGGCTGGTGCTTGACTATGCCCCCTCCTCTCCAGCATGGAGGGGTGAGAGCTTTGGAGGGCTTCTATTCCCTTCCATTTGTCAGTGGCTGGGAGGCATGCTTCAGTGCCTCATGGTTTCTGGCTTGAGCCACTGCAGGTATGCAGCTGCATTTCTTAAATCAAAAGTGAATGTCTGTCCATTTGCTGATCAGTTCAATCTGCATAGCTTAGATTAATTTGCAAAGACTGAATCAGTTCAGCCTCAGGCATTTTTGAATATTTTTACCTGGCCTTGGCAATCACCAAGCAGCTTCCCTGCCACTTTGTAAGTTAATGCCGCCACCTGCAAAGGATGATTCTGCAGGAGTTCAGATGTCTCCCCAGTCATTGTACATCTCTCAGCAGCACAAATTC